GCTTTTTTTCTAAAAGTGAAGTCAGGCCTAACTGAGTTATTTGTTGATTATGTTTCAAGTTACCCTGACTGTGTTGGTGGAAGTTCTAATACAACTTTTACTTCTGGAGCATCTATGGAGTGTGGTAATTCTGAAAATAGGCCTGTGTTTAGGTTTAAGGCTGATCTTAAAAAGAAGAAGCTTGAGAGTGGTCAGGTAGGAGTTAAAAAATCTGAACTTGATATATATTTAGCTGAGTCCATAATTGAGGAAGATGGGGACTTTGATATTCTAAGATGGTGGAAGTTAAATAGTGAAAGGTTTCCTATACTTTCCAAGATGGCTAGGGATGTACTTGGTGTTCCCATTTCCACAGTTGCTTCTGAGTCCACTTTCAGTACAAGTGGTAGGGTTTTGGACTGTTTTAGAAGTTCATTAAGTTGTAAAATTGTGGAAGCCCTTATTTGTGCACAAGATTGGTTGAGATTGGCTCACCAGCCTATCTCAATTGAAGAAAACATTGATGAAGTAGAGAGACTGGAAAAAGGTATAACTTTTATAGTTTTATGTGTTTTCATGTATGATTTGCTTATTATGAATTTTCTTGTTTATATTTCATAATTTTAACAATTCTCTTTGTTTGTTATAGAAATAATGGATGGAAATGTTGGTGGTGGAACTGCTGCTCCTACTGGATCCTCTATTGTGCCATTAAGTGTACATTTTCTATATTTTTATAGGGTTTAGGGTTGGCATTGCTCTTTGAGTTCATAACAAGCATTCTGACTTCTGAGCTATATGACATGTTTGGTTTTTGCCATTATTTGGTTGTTTGGCTATGATGAAGCTTCCACTCATTACTGCATTTAGGGTTTAGGGTTGGTGTTGCTCTTTCAGTTCATAAAATGGTAAGTTGTAACTGAAATTGTAGCAGATGCCCCCTATTTCCCCTTATGAATGATAAAAAGCATTCTGAGCTCTAAACATTAGTACATCAGTAACTGATTATGTGCATTCTGAGCTCTATGTGTATGTGCATTCTGACTTCTAAGCTCTCTGATTATGTATAATATATTATGAGTATGTATAATGTGTATAGGTTTGAATGTTTGAATGTGTATCAGTGTATGCACATGAGTACATGACTCTCTGATTTGGCATTATGTGGTTGTTTTTCCATGTGCATTCTGACTTCTGAGCTCTCTCATTATGTATAATGTATTATGAGTATGTATAATGTGTATAGGTTTGAATGTTTGAATGTGTATGCACATGAGTACATGACTCTCTGATTTGGCATCATGTGGTTATTTTTCCATGTGCATTCTGACTTATGAGCTCTCTGATTATGTATAATGTATTATGAGTATGTATAATGTGTTAGGTTTGAATGTTTGAATGTGTATGCACATGAGTACATGACTCTCTGATTTGGCATTATGTGGTTGTTTTTCCATGTGCATTCTGACTTCTGACTTTTGAGCTCTCTGATTATGTATAATGTATTATGAGTATGATTATGTCATTCTGGAAAGCATTCTGGCAACTGTGAACTGTCCCTGGACTCTTATCCCTTGCTCTGACTTGTTGAGGTTTTGTGTAAGTAACTCATAATCCCATTAATCCTTGACTATATCATTTCTATTAAATTTTATTGGCTATGATGAAGCTTCCAAACATTACTGAATGTATGGTTTAAGGTTGGTATAGCTCTTTCAGTTCACAACATGTAAGTTGTAACTGAAATTGTAACGGTTGCCCTTAAATTCCTGGTGAAAGGATAACAAGCATTCTGAGTCAGTGATTTTTCTGATTTGTTATTTTGTTTCATTAACTTATCCAAGTTACTCTGACTTATTTTACATGTCTAATTGTCTATTGCTTTACATTTGCAATTTTGCATACTTGTATGCAGGTGGAAACTTGAAGCTGTGGAAAATAGTTGTCGTCTTGTGAGTTTTGGAACACTTGAACTTCAAATCTTGGATAGTTGGATACTTGGATGTATTAATTTTGCGTACTTGGAACTTTGGAATGTTGGATGTTAATGAATTATGTAGCATTTTTTAATTTGTAAACTGCAAGTCTGTAATATGTGCTTATTACTTTAGTCTTAAGTTCTTTACTTTGTTCTATAAGTTTAAAAGACTGGTATCAAATTGCCATATATTTTACTTGAACATTTTGTCTATGAACATTTTGTATGAGTTACTTGAACCCGACATAACCCGATACCCGAACCGAACCCGCCCTACCCGAAGAACATTAAAAACCGAAAAAATTAGGGTAAAAAAACATAGGGTAGGATAGACTAATTACACATCCGATACCCGAAAGGGTCGTGGGTTCACCCACCCGCCCGACCCGAACCCGCCCGATGCTCAGCCCTACTTCTCCCTTTGCTACGGATTTGAAGCTAAGGCCCCCACTGAGGTAACTCTTCCAACCCGAAGGGTCACACAGTATGATCCAGAGGCCAACGACGCCAATATGGCCCTCGATCTCCACCTTATTTCAGAACGCCGAGAGCAAGCCTTCATACGCGCAAAGAACTACCGAAGGCAAGTGAAGAGTTACATTGACGCCAAGGTTCGCTCCCGGGAGTTCCAAGTGGGGGACTATGTCCTTCGAAGAAGGGAAGCTAGCCAACCAACCGAGGGCGGAAAGATGGCACCAAAGTTCGAGGGCCCCTACATCGTGGCAGCCATCATCAAAGTTCGAGGACGCCTATACCGAAGGCGCCACCTCTCGGTACCGGCAGCACGTAGTGCCCCCGGCCATTTGCAACCTGTGTGCAAATGAAAACCCTTCCCTGAAACGCTTTCCGCGTCATTACCCCAAGGGTATGACAGGCACGAGAAATGCCCAAGATTCGACTTTCAAAAACGGAACGCTTTCCGCGCCATTTCCCCAAGGGTTCGACTTCCAAATCGAAACGCTCCCCGCGCCACCACCCCAAGGGTGTGGCAGGCCACGGACTATGTCTAGCGCCGAGGGGACGACTTTCAAAACTGAGGCGCTTTCCGCGCCATCCCCCAAGGGGAGGCAGGCTACAGACCACCATATCTTGTACCCAGGAAACGACCCTCGATCCCCTCGGAACTCGGAAGGTTAACCCGAGGGGGAGCTAATGGTGTATTCTGTTACCTCCCGATAGGCCAAGCCTTACCGAGAAACCAAGTTTCTTGAAGTCTTCCCTTCACTACAAAAAAATGGGGTGGTGAAGGGGAGTAGACTCGGCGAGAAATCAATGAGTACATCACTCCTACAATTCACGAAAACATACCGAGGGCTCCCCATGGGAACGCCTTCGGTACCTGGAAGCTCATAAGCACAAAGGATACCATTCACAATGGACATCATCAACAAATGACTAAGTCCACTCAATGATTGCCTCCGGCTATACCTAAAACCGAAGGCTCAAAAACTACAAATCATGGCAGGCTCAGTCAACAACAACTCGAAACCTCCCCGAAGGCTACTATATAACAAAGCTATCAGATGGTGGCCAAACCAACTCGAGAATCACCTCCGGCACCTCACTACATGCCGAGGGGATACATCCAGACAATTCCCGAGGGAGTCTGCCTTTTTATGCTAGACTTGGATTATAAACTCTCCTATATCAACATTGGGGGGACATAACAAACAACCGAAGGCTTTTTGTTGCCACAAGCCAACATTACAAGGCAAAGGAAACTATCCTAAACCTACAACGTATACGGCCGAAGGGTCCCCTCCCGAAGGCCAGCAGCAGGAAATACTTGGAGAAAATAATCTAAGTCCCAAATACTTTGCCCCCTGTGGGGCCACCGGCCAGCCGAAGGCGTATCTGGGACAAGGTCCTCACATTCACCCGAGGGCTCCTACCTCACACAATTACACTTAGAAATATTTTCTAAGTCCTACATATTTTGACCCTCGGTCAAATCTCCATGCTGCCCGAGGGGCCATACGCTTGAAGGCTTGGTGAAGCTACACTTAGAAAATTTTTCTAAGTCCTAACTATTTCCGGGCCCTCGGCCATACATTCAGTCAGCAAAGGGTACCCAATTACCGAAGGCTAGACTGTATTCAAACACTCAGAAAAATTCTTCTAAGTCCTAAACATCTCGCCTCCGGTTATCTCATAAGGGCTACACAGAACCAGAGGGAAGGAACCAGCCGGGGGCCAACAGATGAACAAACACTTAGAAATATTTCTAAGTCCTGAACATTGTGCCCTCGGTGAAATGTTCAGATGACTAAATAGGCCTGGTGGCCGAGGGCTACAAAAGGCACTATGCTTAGAGGAATATATTCCAAGTCCTAACATACATTCAAAGAAAGACGAAGGCATACATTCAGAAAAGGTGAAGGCATACATTCAGAAAACGACGAGGGCATACATTCAAAGAAAAAAACAATTCAAAGGAACGGGTCATACACAAAAAGCCCGAAGGCAGTTATCCATTCATTGAGGGGAGAAAAAGTTGAAATATTCATTACAAAAGGGCCGGAGCCAAAAGTACAACAACATGATTACAGATCGGTGGGGAATACATTTTACAAAAGGGGAGCTACAACATCGCCCCCTTCGACAGCCGTGGGAATAGCCTCGCTTTCGGCCTCATCCCCATCACCCCCGAGGCCACACTCCCTCAGAGTCTCCGAGTCTTCAAGCACCCACCTCTCTTCGCCTTCGGGGAGCGGGATCCTGACGTCTGGCTGCCTAGGGGGGAGGCCATAAGCCTCGGGCTGGAACTCCTCCGGTGAGAGCTTGAAGTGCCTCGCGAGCTTCCGGTATATGAGGCGTTGGGTGAAAAACTCCCCGCCTTGGTAGTAGGAGTCGCCCTTCTCAGCAAGCCACATCTTGTCGGGGACTCCAAACCAGTCATCCACCGAAACCCCCACCACCGAGGAAAGCCACTCCTTCTGATCTTCAGCTTTCCACCCCTTGGCAGTAAAGCCGGCCACAGCATCCTCCCGGGCCCTGGAGACGGCCTCTTCTTGAGCCGCGCGGGCTTCCTCAGCGGAAACGCGGGCGGCCTCGGCAGCAGCCTCCCCGGCCTTAGCCAGGCCCTCATTCATCCCCTCGGCCCTCGCAGCTTGCACCCACTGCTCCATGCTGTCGGTGGCCAGGCGGAGAGATTCCTCGGCCTCGGCAAGCTTCTCCCTAAGGAGGGCAGCCTCCCCTTCGGTTGCGCCCTTCGCCTCCTTCATCTGCTCCACCCTTCGAAGGTGCTCACAGAGGCCCATGAAGCTCTACAATCCACAAGGGCGAAAGTTAGATATGAAAAACACGGTACAAAAGGACAACAACAAACACGGAAGAAAAAGATAGGCGTGACTTACGGAGGCAGTGTTCAGAAGGATCTTGGCCTCGAGGGAGCTCTCGTCCAGTCTGGCGAGGGCCAAGCGATCAGCCGATGGCAGCATCTGGCTCATTAGCGCCGAGGGGTTCAGACTACCCTCCAGTACTGAAGCCCCCTTCGGCACTATCGCCTCCAGTTTCTCCCGCCCGAAGAACTCTTGGTTTATGTGCTCCTGGGAGGCGGGGGCAGAGGCGTGCCCCTCATCCACAATAACAACCACGTAAGTGGTCGGCTGCTTGGCAGGGGCGGCGACTTTTAGCTTCTTGGCCGGGGGCTCGGTCCCCTTGCCATTGTTTTTCTTCTTCACGGGCCCAGCACCTCTGGACCCCCCGGCGCCAGCACCGGCAGCAGCGGCTTGGGAGGGCTCCTCCCTGGCAGAAGTGCCCGCCGGGCCCTTCTTCTTCCCCTTAGCATTCTTCAGAGCGAAGAGGGAGCTGACGTCCATGATATTACCTGCAAGAACAAGACACAGAATGGTTAAATCGAAGGGTGTCAGCTACAATGGCATAAAGTAAAAAAAAGAAATATGAAGGAAAACTATAAAGTTGCAAATAAACCCTTCGATAATCACTTCCGGCTCCTTCGAAGACACGATTGAGGGGAGGGTATCTTTCATCCGATGAACCCCTCGGCCTGAACTGCCGGAAGCCAAGACTAAACAGTTCTTCAGGGAGAGTGACGTCCTTGATCTTAACGTGCTTATCGGACCCCTCCGGTTTTTTGGCAAGTATTCTGCCATTCTTCTCCAGGGCCGCGCTCCCTACCTTCGGGTGGCACCGGAAGCTGTTGCGGAGCTGAGCCGGGAAGGGGTTCTCCTCCAACCGTATGTAGCAAAACCACTCCTTCCAACCCTTGTGGGACGAAGGCACGTCATCGAAGAACCTGAACTCCGGTACCTGCTGAAGGTTGGCAAAGCCCTCAGTGTTTGAATGCCCCCCGGCAGAGGTTGAAGGACATGAAGAACTGGTCGAGGGTAGGTGGAACCTCAGGTATTCCAGCAGAAGGAGAGGAAGCCGGCCACATAAGAGTGGCTATTGGGCGTTAGCTGGCAGGGGGCCAACCCCACGAACCTCAGGTATTCCAGCAGAAACGGGTGAAGCGGAAAGCGAAGCCCCATCTCCACCGACAGGGTGTGAACAGCAAAGCACCCTTCGGGCGCATATCGCAACAAGTCGTCTGCCCCTGGCTCCACCACGCGCGCCGAAGGGCCAACCAGGATCTGAGTGGCCTGGTACTCTGCCGGGGACGCCCTCGTCTTCAGCTCTAGGGCAGCGGTGTTCATGAATGAATGGCCCTCGGGTATGCCTACCGGCCGCCCGGCATCAACGGCCGCTTGTTTCTTTTTCGGGGCTGCCCTCATCTTCTTCTTTTTCCCGGGAGCCACACTGATGGGCGTCGGGTTCAAGGGCTGGGAGGAACTGGATTCCCCGGCACCACGAGGGGGAAGGACAGCAAACGTCACCTTCATCCTCTCCCTCTCCTCTTCCTCTTTAGCAGTCTGCACGGCAAGGGCGAGCTCTTCATCCTCATTCACCTGCTCGAAGTCTTCGACTTCGACTTCGGCCCGGAGGTCTTTCTCCACCTCCATGGCCACTGCAGCGTCACCACCCACCGAAGACTCCTCGCTCGAAAACTCGACGTCGGAGTACGTCTCCATCTCAACTGAAGGCTCCCCCGAAATATCTTGGGAATCACTTTGCGAGGACATTTCGTACTAAATCAAGGGTCGAAGGGAGGTCCTAAAAGCTCTAAGCTACGGGCACTTAATCTAAGGGCGAAAGGTGAGAAGGAAGGAAAGTATGCAAGAATGACCGAAAGCGGGGCAAAAACTGACCTTGAAAGCTGGGGATTCGACCGAAGGCTGGATTTTCTCTCTCTAGCAATTTGGGCAGAGCTTCGCAAACAAATGATCGTACAAGAGGGATGATGCCCGGCCATGGGGTATTTATAGGCGCCCAGATCCGGGCTTGGGCCCAAAAACCGGGCCTCCGGTCATCAAGTCATCATTACAAACCGTGGTTTCGCCCAATCGGTAACGCCGCCCGCGGACGGCCAACCGTCGCGCGCCACGTGTGCCCCTCCCTCAACGGCTATATAGTGGCGTTAGATATTCCAACGGCTATAATCTCAACGGCTATATTCTGGGAGCCTCCGGCTACATTTAGCAGCCCACTCCTCCATGCTTTTTACTTCACGCCACCTCATCAAGAAGAGCCCCCGGGTACACTTACCCGAAGACGTTCCCGGTCTGTGCCCCACACACTACATAAAAAAATGCCTTCGGGCTCACCCCCTCAGAAGCCCACGGCTTCATAACAGACACACCCCTCGGGGATCCCCCCTCAACACTCTGAGGGCCGGGTAGCCCCCGGGGAGTACGCCTCATTGACATATAGCCTACGGCACACAGGTAACGGGAGCCCTCGGATACCCTCCTCGCTAACTAATCAACAAACAGAGGACACCCCGGTAACACTTCAACTACTACTCACATTCATCACACCCTCGATCCCCGGATTGAGGGACTACCCTTCGACACCCCCAAGGATATCAACGGTAAGCCTCCGGCTAATCAACACACGTGCCTTCGGAACAAAGATAGCCTTCGGCTTCAGCATTGTACTCCATTTAAAACCAGGGCTTCACGTTTTCGATTCATCGTTGGGGGAATTCGGTGCACTCTTTTTCCCTCATTAGGATTTTTTCCCACAGGGTTTTTCCTAATGAGGTTTTTAACGAGGCATCCCCCCAAAATGAAACGAAAAGCGTCAGCCTTCGGCCCAATACAGCAACATGATTACTCTACTCCTTTTCACCACTTTGCAACTTGCAAGTGCCTCAAGGAGTGGGGCACTGGAGGACCCCCTTGGGAAAATCACAAAAATCACAAACATGCCCCCTCAAGTCCCGACATGTGGGTAACTGAGGGACTGCCCTCGGCAGAATAAACAAACAGCAAACTACCCACAACTCTACAAACTACAACGGAAAAACGGCAGAGGACAAACACAATTACTCCTTTTCCCTCAAGTACCTTTCGGCAAAAGGAGTGAGGGACTCCTGATGGAGTATATGGCCCGGGAACTCCCGGTCCACAGACTCCTACTACTCCAATAAAGGCCCAACAGGCCCAGAAAGCACAACAGGCCCAAATCACAACGCCCAGAGTATCAAGCGGCCCACAGTGCGCACTAGGGGTGCCTTCGGCCCCATGGCCGAAGGCTCCAATTCTCACAGGAGGGTCAAAACAGGAAAACAAAGTTACTCGGAAAAACGGTAAAAATCAGTAGCCCTCGGCACTAAGGAGGTCCCCGGTACTCAGAGCCCTCGGCTAATCATCTACAGCCGAGGGCATCTTTTCCGACATAATATCCGCTCCACATGCGTATGGATCACCGTACCAAGTACGACGTCACATCCAACAGCCGCATTAAATGCGGCCACATGCGTTTTCCAGCGCCAACCAGTTGAGGTGACCCCTTAGCCAATGGATGCTTGACACGTGTCCTTGTCTGGCATTTATTACTACTATAAATAGCACCCCATTTCCCTGTTGTAAACCACGCTAAAAACGCTGAATACATTTCTAATATACTCTCTCTCTCTCTCTACTTACTTGCTCTGACTTCTCTCTAGCTATTCCCCGTAATAACCCCTAGGTTAAGCTACCCCTCAGGTACACTATCCATCAAATGTATTGACGGTGCTGGAATGCAGAGAAATAGGAGTCGAAACATTGTTTTCATATGAACGAAGTCCATTTTTGACATTTAGACTCTCACACCACTCCAAATGGTCTTAGAGACCATAGTTTTGCAATTGCGTTTTGTACTCATCATAAATATGTAATCCGTGGTGGACCCAGAAGTTTTCTCACTACCGCATGAATGAGAATGAGTCGAATCGGATGTGGTGTGTCACTGGTCCATTCTTTCTAGTTCATATTATTTATTGTAAGAGGAAATAGATTGTTCAATATTTGTTTTGAGCAATATTCATCTATGGATTATAAATCCAACTTTGAACCCATTAGAACAATTCTAGACAATGATAATAGGTTTTCCGATAGAAAGACATAATTTTGATTATAAATGAATCATATTTGCATCGTTTATGTTTTTTATTAGAGTTCAATTGTCGTTATTTTTCAATATATAATATGGTCAGGATTTAGGTTTTGAGGTAATACATCAAACACTACAATATTGTGCCACAAAATTTGTTGTTACTTTTTTGGAACATAATACTACCATGTCCAAAGATGAAGTATAATTCAAGATTGTTATTTCATCCTTCAATACAGCATTTTTTAATAATATGATTTTACATATTGCACTTTTATCATATTGCATTACAAAAAATCAAAGGGTCTCACACTAATTTATCGTGAGTTGTCACATTTTTCATCAAAACATTGTGATGATTTTTTCATGCCAATAGCTTTTTGCACAAATTTTTCTCAAATTTGGCAACGAACTGCTACTTCATGCAAAATTCTTGACAAAACCAATAGCAATTAGTAAGAAATTCTAATCTTGTGTATGAGTTTTTACTCAAGATAAGCTAAGAAATAGTATTCAATCCATAAAGTTCATCCCGAATATTAAAATCAATGTCATCTTTGACCTCTACTTTTTGACAAAGACAATTTATAGTAGTACTTAACTAGCAAAGAGATCAGCAATGCCACTTTTCAAAAAAAAGTGTAGTGGGAATGTCAATAATTACATGTGTAACTGCAAGGAATCGCTCCATGACATGCCGTTATCGTTTACATTTCTCATTATAGTTGTAATATAAGTTATTTGACGGAATTATCACCTTATCCAATAATTGTTATTTTTATCTGGATCGGGGGCACAAGTTTTATAGTAAGCAGTAATACTAAATTTCGGAATAGGAAGCGGGGGCATGTGACCCCCAGCCCCCTAGATCCTCCCACTGTATGTAACTATGTCTAATTTTTTCACCTATGAAGCACAGATACTTCACCAGGGTGCCGTATTGGCATATCGGAAACCTCCCTGTATCTGATACTCTAGGATGCTCGTACCATACGTTTTCAAGTCGTATTTGCAATTTTTGAAAGTTTCCATTTTTTGTAATTATTTTAAAATTTCGGATACTCGTATCTTGACGGATACACATATCAACTTTAAAAAAACGCATCCAAAAATTTATATAATAAAAATCTTAGAAAACGAAAACTCAAAATAAATTTTACCTTACTTTTTTATTTATGTGTTACACAACTAATGAGCATATCCCTAATTCACTCATCTCTAATTTACTCATTTTCCCTTCAACGACATGAATAGGTAGATGTCACAGGACATGATATGCATATAATTTCACAAAACAATTGTATTTTTAATATTTATAAATACCCTCATACAACTTTTAATATTTATAAATACACCCCCATAACTTTTAATATTCTATATAAATATGGCCATGTATCTGTATCCTATTTTTTTTGGTTTTATCGTATCCCCGTACCCGTTTCCGCGTACCGGTATGGATGCTACATTGGTACATAGGTTTTCACCAATGTTCATTTGTTTCCTTTTATTGCCAACTATAAGAAATTTCTCAAAGTAATAGTAAAACAAACTGACTTAACTGGATATATACACTGTATAGCTTCTCTAAAATAGAAGTCGTACACTACCCTTGTGACATCATAATGTTATATTATGATTAAACCGATAATATTAGAGTTAATTATGCATATAAGACTAAAAGTCGGTCCGTTCGCACAAATAGGATAAAAAAATAACCTATGTTTCATAGGACCAATTATGTGTGTCATAGACAAATATACCCTTATAGGTATTGAAATGTTTTAATTCATAATAAAATACTAGTGATAAAAAATAATAAAAATTCGTAAAAAATACTAAAAAATTAAAAAAAAAAATTTAAAAATAATAATTTAGATTTTTTTAAATATTATTTTTTTTTAAAAAAAATGAAAACGCAAAAAATATCATTGTCGCCTTTGCTGCTCCAGCACCACCACCTCCGGTCACCGGGGGAAAATGCCACATTCTTTAGGAATATCATATTTATGGCAGATTCAATGAAAATTTTCACATTCTCAAAGAGTAATATGTCAGTTTTTGGCATTTTCCGAAAAAATGGCATTTTAAAAAAAATGGAATTTTTACACCGGTCGGAGGTGGTGGTGCAGGGAGGCATTACGGGCGGTGGTAAAGGAATATGTATATTTTTTTTATTTCTTTATGGATTGTTACTATTTTTTATTGAGTTTTGATTTAAATTTTTGATTTTATTTTTTATTTATAAATATTTCATTAATTTTATTATTTTTCTACAATTTTTATTAGTTTTTACGAATTTATTATGAATTAAAACATTTAATTATGACTTTTGACTACCTTTTACTCATATTTAAAGGAAGGGTATGAATGAAATGAAAAAATAAGTATGCTTCCAAATAGGAGTAATACGATCCTATTTTGTAATAAAAACATAAGATGTCCTATTTTTTATTTTTGCCATAATTTTACCCCTATTTAGGATAATTTCTGATAGTATTATTGTGAAATAATGGAATAGGTTATTCCAATAGGAGGCATGTTTGATGTATTATTTTATATTAAAAGAGTTAAATATAAATTACCCAAATATTCCTAAAGACATATTATTGCACCCCTCAAACTGTGCGTGAGATACGGCACACTCATGTTGCCTTTTAAAAAATAAAACTGCTGAGTAGAGAGACTTCTGGTAAATTTATTAGCTAATTGCAAATGAGTATGCACATATTTCAGAACTAAGTCTCCATGAGTAACACGTCCTCGAACAAAAAGATAGTCATTCTCAATATGCTTGCTCCTAGCATGCTGAACTGGATTTACAGTCAAGTAGGATGCTGAGATTATAACAAAAAAGCTGAACATGTACTATGACAGGAAAGCCAAGCTCGAATAAAATAGGACGAACATGCAAGGTATCATGAACTATGTTGGCTAGTTTTTAGACATCCAAGACACGAGATTAGGACCCATCAATACAGAAAACCAATGGTGGAGCGAGAAGTATCTGTGCAACCAACCCAATCAACATCTAAATAGGCTATAACACATGTAGCATGTGTAGTGGGGTTGAAGCCATAAGCCATGATCAGGTGTGCCCTGCAAAATACCTGAAAATCTCTTGACTGCAAGCAATTGAGTAGTATGTGGAGCATGTATGAATTGTGACACTAAAGGCACCGCATAGTAATATCAAGCCTTGTCAAAGCTAAATACTGTAACGCACGAATCATATTAGGATACTCATTAGCATCTGCAAGAAGCTAACCATCAGTGAGGGACAGAGTAGTGCGGCTAGCTAGAGGAGTGCGAACGGATTTAAGGGTATGTAAATGAAAATGAGCAAGAAGATCGGAGACATATTTATGTTGAGAGAGAAACAAACCTTTAGACGTACGCAAAGCCTGGACTCCTATAAAATAATGAAAATCACCCTGATCTATCACTGCAAAGTGACGAGTGATAAGGTGAATAAAACAAGTGACAACAGAAAGGGAATTGCCAGTGATATGTTATTATATCATCCATATATAATATAAAAAAATTACACCATTATCCTTGCGGTAATAAACAAGGAATGATCAGATTTACTGCATAAGAAATTATGACTCGGAAAAAACTACTAAACCTATGAAATCAAGCCCGCAAAGCTTGCTTGAGACCATAGATGACCTTACTCAAACGACATAAGTGATTAGGAAAATTAAACGAGGATGAACAAAATCACGAGGCTGACGTATATAGACTTTCTCAGTGAGATGACCATGAAGAAAGATATTTTTCACATCTAACTGACACATAGCCCACCCAAAAGAAATAACTAAAGTAAGAACAACACGAACTGTAGTGGCTTTAATGACATGACTAAAAGTTTCAGAAAAATCTATACAACACTGTTGATTAAACCCCTGAGCACCCAAACATGCATTATGACGCTCAATAGAGTCATCCGAAAGAAATTTGGTCTTATAAATACACTTAGATCCCACAATAATTCTATAATTGTCAAACGGTACCAACTCCCAAGTATGATTAGTAATTAGAGAATTAAATTCTTCAACCATAGTCGCACGCCATTTCAAATGTTTTTTTTTGTCGTAGTAAAACAAGTAGGATCTGGTGAAAGAACACCCGTATGTAAATCAAAAATTCTTTTGGGTAAAATTTTAAACTTTGCCTGAGTATGCAATGGGGTGAACATTGGCGGTCTGGCCTGGAGAGGTAGTAGACGACAGAATATCCGGCAAGGCTATGCTTGTGGGTGAGTGGTTGGCCAACGTAGGTGATGGGCTGGAGGGTTGAAGTGATTGGGCAATTGATGGGCTGGTTCTTAAGACCGTGGAAGGAGGGGTGGCCGAAGAGAAGGTGGGGAAGGACAAGGCTAGTGGGAAAGGGCTAGTGGGCATCTGAGCAGCGCGCATACTGAGGTGCGGCAATGGGTCTGGAGAAATAGTTCGGCCGGGAAGTATTGGTGAGTAAAAAATAAGGGAAGAGGATCAGAAGAGGGAATGACCCCATGGAAGACAAAAAAGTGGCGAAGGAAAAAATATGTTCATGAAAACAAACATGGCGCCTAATGAATATCCTGCGAGATTTTGGATCAAAACAACTATAACCCTTAAAACCAGATGCATAGCCACGAAAAACACACTGGATGGAACGGGGAGAGAATTTATTGGAAGAAGCAGAAAAATTAGGATAACAGACACAACCAAACACACGTAAAAAGGAGTAATCGAGAGATTTTTGAAAAAGTTATTCATAAGGGGATTTACCTGAAGGAGAGGAGAAGGCAATCTGTTAACAATATATGCAGCTTTAAAAATAGCATCGACCCAGAAATGAATAGAAATGGAAGATGTAACAAGCATAGTCCTCGCCAATTCTAGGAAATGACGATTTTTACGTTCACCAACCCCATTTTGTTGAGGAGTGTGAGGACATGAATTTTGAAAATAATTACCATGCTTAGAAAAAAATTGATGAATACTAGAGTTAACAAATTCATCCCCTCCATCACTTTAACATTTTTTAATTATAGAATTAAAAAGATTTTCAACAAGAACTTTAAAAGTTTGAAAATGCCGAAAAACTAGTGTGCATTGGATACAACCATGTAAAACGAGAGAAATTATTAATGAAGCACGCATAATACTTAAAACCCGAATTTGAAAGAACATGAGATTGCCAAACATCAAAATAAATTAATTGTAAAGGCATAGTAAATGTATGACTAACATCTGAAAAAGGTAATCGTTGAGATTTGCCTAATCGTTAAGAAATAAAATCATGAGAAAAATTAAAACTATTACAAATGTGTCTTTGTGAACGCAAAAGGAGTAAAACATTTTCACCACAATGTCCTATTCTACGATACCAAATCGGGATGTGGTAACTGAAGATAAGGCTAAAGTGGAAGGTGGGCTGAAATTGAGAGGGTAGAGGTGTCCATTATAGGTTGCTCGTAGAAGAACCGCCCTAGAAAGTTTGTCTTAAGAAAGAAAACAATTTTTTATCAAAAAAACAATAGAGTTGTTATCAGCAAATATTTTTTGAATGAAAACTAAATTTAGTTTAATTTGAGATACATGAGAAACGGATTTTGATAAAAGTGGGCGTCTGGAGGTATTTAAATGAATATTACTACCATGGTTAATGGAAAGTTGATTACTAACAGAAATGGGACCAACATAAGGATATTTATTAGCCAAAATACTTTTAGATGAAGTCATATGAGCAGACGCACCGGAGTCTGGATACCACAAAGCCTCGTTAGATTCTCTAGTGGGAGCCAGAAGAGCACGTGCAGAAGGTTGAGAAAAGAGAGACGAACAATGGAGAGCAGATCGGCCTGTAACGAAGCATATTTACACACAACTTGAGGCGGAATGGAACCAAGAATATCCTCAGCTGATGGAACTCCTGCATAACAAAAATTAGTACTACAAGTAAATTTAACATTACTATTTAAAGTGGACAAAACAGAATTACCCATTGCATCAGCATTAATGGGTCTTTGTGGTGTCTCAACCCATGCATGTTGGCCGAAACCTGGAAGGCCCTGCTGTTGTCCCTGCAGCATCCATTGTGGCTATCGTGACTCCTGGAAGCGGCCTTTGTCGTGTCCTCCTCTGCCGCAGCCTACTCTGCCACAGTTTCCTCTGCCGCGGCTGGCATGGGCTGGTTGTAATCTGCTTGAGCCCCAAATGTTTGATGCGCACGAGTAGTGTCTTGCTGACGAAAGAACAAAATACATTGTTCCTCTTCTAGAAGTCTCAGATGCAGGACGTGAGGAAGAAAATTCTAAGGGAATATGAGATGGTGGTCGGTGACAATAGACTCATATTCGGGCGCAAACCAAGAATAATGGATTGAAGTAAGTCTGAGTCAGACACATGATAATTAATTCCAGTCAAAGCATCAACCAAATCCTTTACATCCCTTAAATAATGTGATATAACATTGGTTTAAGTTCCATGGTAAATGATGATAACGCTTAATTTTACATATCTTGATGACTCATTTTATCCCGCAGTTGGTTAACTTCTAGGATTAATTATGCTTGATGTGTTTTAATGCTTACAATTATCGGGTTTAATTTGATTTACAAGTGTTATTAACGTTTTTATCATTTTTATGGGTGTTAGACATCTTTTAGCATTCCAAGGCGAACAAGCAAAATCAAAATCGCAAAAGTCAAACCCGGGTCAAACTAGAGTTGACCTGGTCAAACCAGTCAACCAATCTGAAACAAGCAGCAACAAGAAGGAGAAATGAAACAACATGAGGAATCACCACCGTTCTAAAAGACATCTTCATTGAGTATCAAACTTCTTCTATTGACTATTAGAGGAATCGTAAATTTTGTTAATTGAACATCAAGGCATTTTCATTGAGTACTAAACTTCTTCTATTGGCTATTAGAAGCATGCAATTGAGTATTGACGTGCACTCGTCGTTAGGTGCACTCAAAATAAATAATCAATACAACACTGATACGTAGTATAGTGTAGTAAGGTTCGTATCCACAGGGAAAGGAATACTTTTCTTTTATATAAATAATAACAAGGGGGGTTTAGATTTGCTTGGTTTAATAACACTAAGATAAACGACCTATATGAGTTTAATTCAATGAGATGGGGACTTGGTTTTGCTTTTATCCACTTAATGAAATGTTCGTCGATCCCGGTTATATCTTTAACTATCTTCCTCTCGAATACTCAATCGAGGAGTATATCCAGTTCATCGAGGGTAGTTATTAATAACGAGATGCGTTCATTAATAAAACTTACTATCGAGTCAATATAGAACAAGCGCCGTATATTAACTTGATAGTAGCAATAAACTTAAGATGAAAACGATTGAGATTGATAACCTCAACACAAGCGGTTTATTGGTTTAATCAATATAATTAATTCCCCTTGACATATTAACCATGAGATGCATGCATTAATATCCCAAGTTTACTACCGTTGAAAGAACCGGATTAATAACAAGCGTATTAACCGATTGATTCTAGTAATAATTAATATGAGAAACAATACTAGTTGATACTTTAAGTAATGTTTAAGATATTAACATGAAATATGAATAGGAATTAATCAATACTCAAGGAAGAAAATTAAAATATATGAATCCTACTATGATTAATATCAAGATGTTAACTAATTGTCATCTTAGCAACACTCCCCAATATAATCATTGAGGAAGAAATAGCTATTACTATAACCAATGTCAAGATGTTAACTAATTGTCATCTTAGTAACACTCCCCAACTTTGATATAGAGATAGTATTTTGAAAGAAAGAATTAATATTCAAAGAAGAAGATTAAAGAAAATAACTCACAACTTACAAATTCATTAAGCTTCAAAGTAGCAAAACCAAGATGGAAGAGTTTAGCTCCTCATTTGGAGACTAAACATGATGAAAAATATAAAGAAAGAGCTATTCTATACTGAGCTTAGATGTACAAGGGATTGGATATCTTTTTGTGAAGGAAAGGAGGTGTATTTATAGGTTTTTGGGATGAGATTCGGGTACTCGATCGGGTATATACATGGTACCCGATCGAGTATGTGTGTAACATCCGATTCGAGGCATACTCGACCGGTTTCAGGCTATTTTCTAAGTGTATACCCGATCGAGTATATATGAATACCCGGTCGAGTATGCTTAGAAAGTGATATTCGGGCTATACTCGACCGATCTTCGTTTGCAATTTAAAGGCATACCCGATCGAGTATATATGAATACCCGGTCGAGTATGCTTAGAAAGTGGTATTCGGGCTATACTCGACCGATCTTCGTTTGCAATTTAAAGGCATACCCGATCGGGTATGTCGGTCTACCCGATCGGGTATAGACATAGAATCGTGGCCAAAATCTTCCCTGCATGTTCCTTTGTCTTCGGATCTGATCCGATTTGAAGTTCCAACCTAATACCCGATCGAGTATAGCTAATACTCGACCGAGTATAGACCAAAATTCAGGATCTTCTTTTGTCTTTGAACTTTTGCACCTTCTCTTCACTTTTTGGGTTCACCAACTGTACTTTGGGTGACCAAAACCTGCTTAAGCTCAGAAAATGTCTAATCTAACCTATTTACAAGAATTTAACAATCTAATCTATTACACCAAAAGTGTGTAATTTCCAAAGTAAAAGTCAAGCAAAACTAATTAAAAACATAAACATAGAAATGGAAATTACGAACGTATCAACTCCCCCACACTTAAACCTTTACTCGTCTCGAGTAAGATCAAATGTTTACAAGTGTCAATGTTTGTCCAAAAGTTCCACAGTTCAACAAAAAGATAATACAAACACAAAGACCACCAAGGATTACAAAAAATGAGTTTTAAACTCAAATCACAAAAGAGCATCTTGGGTTTAATGGCCTCCTAGTGTTGTCTTCTTTTCTCCTCCTCTCTTCTTCTTTATCTTGAATCTTCATATTCTTCATAAGGATACAATGAGTGCCTGCAAGAACAAACATTTCTCTCATATCTCTCATTTTGCCTAGGAGCCTTTTCAGGTTTTCATCCTAGCACCTCTTTTTATTTTCCATTCTCTCCAACTCACTCATTTTTTTATATAAGCCTTTTTTGCTTAGATTGCCCATTTTGTTGGGTTTTCAACCTAACTAGCATTTATTTTCTTTTGTTTATTTTTTTTTTTTGTACATTTTTTTTGAGTGTAAAAGTTCAAAAGAATTACATGCATAGTGCTAGGTACAAATGAGAATTACATACCATCATGAGTGTCTCCCCCGCACTTGAATCACGCACTGTCCCTAGTGCCCGCCTTCTCCTCCGTAGTAGCTCCCTCCAAAACCGCTCCCTTGGCCACCATCTCCCATGTAAGTGTCCCCGCCATCTCCGCCGTCGTACCCTCCACCACCGGAGCCAGATCCTCCAAAGTTACCCCAATGAGTGGGGTCATACCATGAGGGTGGTGGAGGAGGGTTCGCCATGGTATGGAAGGATCCCTGCTGTGCCATAAACGAGTACATAGGCCCGTAGAACCTATGTTGGTCTTCCTCATACCGGTGTCTATCGGCCTCCCGGAGCTCCTCCAAACGTTGAAAGTCGGCCCTTTGCTCATCCTCCAATCTTTGAAAACCGGCTCTTTGCTCTTCCTCTAATCGGTTGAGCCGGTTGTCCATTTGGGCTATTCCCGTAAGAAGTTGTTGTTGACCCTCCAGAAGTTGTTGAAAGAAGTCGGGTGGTGGAGGGTTTTGGCTTTGTTCTGGGAAATCATGGCTCATGGTTGGATGGCTATGGAGTTGCTCGTAGGGCTCGTCATCGGGTTGGTTTTGGGGGAGTTCCTGTTCCGGTTCTTGAAGATGTGGTGGGAGGGCGTTTGGGAAGAGGTAATGTTGATCCGGCCTGCCTGTTTTGAAGTGGAGTTGGGGGAGTTCTGGGTTGGGCAAGAGGAAGTATTTGAGGGGTTTGGGGTGGATGTGCCAGTTGTACATATTTTTGGGCCTTTCTTCACCATAAACGGTGTGTGAAAAAGAAGTACAGCCCGAGTGGCCTAGCCAAGATATGTTCATTAAACAGTAGTCGGGTATAGGAGAGTCATCCGTATACCCGAACTTTGTGGCCAAGTGCATAATCACCCCGCCCACTACGATAGCACCCTTTGCCACACTTTCCTTCTTTAGATGAGCCCACATGAGATTACAGAGGTTGAAATCCACGTGGATACGGAATAAGGCAACTGAGATGAGGCATACATCCCCCATCCTTGTATGATGGTTGTTGGGACGTCCAAGCAAGGAGTTGGCAAGAAATTTCAAAAAGAGGCGTAGGACTGGATGTTGGACATGACTAATGTATAGTTGGGAGGAGCTAAATTTGGTCTCCCCGGTCATCTTGGTCCATAGGGTGTGGCCGAAGGCGGTATTGTCGGATATAGACTTTTGGTACGGGACCGGAATACCAAAGTGTTCGGCAAACTCAAGTTTCGTGATGGTGTGATTGTGATTAAACAATCGAAACCTGAGTTTATCATCTCTAAAGTCCTCCTCATTGTTCTCAAAGTGCACCGAGCTTAGGAATTCATAGATAATTTTTTCATTTGAGTTGTATTTCATTTTGAAAATTTTATCCATATGCAACTCATGAAAAAAATTCTTCATTATTGTGTATACTCCTAATTCCTTTAGAGCATCAAGGCATAAAAAGCGGGAAGGTTTGACTTGCCTTTCAATTGTGGACAAGAAGCGTGTGCGTTGTTCGTTGTCCACGAAAAGGATGTCCTCGTAGCCCGGGATGATTGTCCTAGTGCTTGAGCTCTGCCCTTTCTCTTTCCTTGGAGCCATTTGAAGTGATTTTGGCCTTTGAAAACCGAAATTGGGATGGTGGGAGTAGGGTTTTTCGGACCTCTGAAAGTTGGGGGAGAATGGGATTGTTGGGTATGAATGTGTAGAGGAGGATGAGGGGAGTGTTTTGGCGTTGGAATGGGTGGATTTGGTGAAGATTTGGAAGAGATATGGTAGAGAGAAGGTGTAAAAATGGGGTTTGGGCGTTTTTTGTTCGAGATGGGGTTGGGAATTTGGGGAAGATGAAGTGTTTTGGGGCTGATTTGGGGTTATAAGACCCGTATACCCGATCGAGTATGTGCTGGTACTCGGTCGGGTATTGCTGGAAAGTGAAGTTTTTGAGCGGCCTGCCTCCTGTACTCGATCGGGTA